CATACTTCTGATATATGGCACAAGATCGACATTACCACTGCAAACATAGGGAAGTGAGCATGGTGAGGAAATATTGGACAAAAACGAGACTAAAAATCAGCTGGCCAAACTCCAAAATCTTTGACTGCAACACACTTATTTCCCTTGGACTGGTTCCCCTTCCTGCGAACAGTTCTCCCAGGCGGGTATTCCAGGATCTGGCATCTCTAATGTCTTGAGGACTCCAAGGAAATCTAGGCTTCAATTTCAAAGCTTCATGTAATGGCTTCTCTAAACTTCCACCCAGGAACATCTCTGACACATGCCTGACCTCCATTGCTTTCCTTAATCTCACAGCAAACTCCATAGCCCTGTCTTTTCTCCTTAACTCTAGAACCATGTGGTCAATGGTACAAAGCTTTGCTGCTTTCTGGATCTGGAACATGGTCCTCTCATTCACTTATGTCTTCATCAGTTTTTTTTTTCTTTCACTACCTTTAGCCTGACTGTCCTGAAACTAGCTCTGTGGACCAGGCTGTCCTCAACCTCAGAGATCTGCCAGCCTCTGTCTTTCTAGCACTAGGATTAAAGGCATGCAGCACCACACCCAGCTCTAAACTTTCTTGAATTATTTTCCCAAGTTGGAAATTTAGCTGGATGCTGTTAAAGGAGCTGCGGGCTGCATTCCACCCAGCTCTCGCACGGCTAGCTTTATACCCAAAATAACAACACACAAATTGTATTCTTTTAAACACTGCTTGGCCTGTTTATTTCAGCCTCTTATTGGCTAACTCTCACATCTTGATTAACCCATTTTTATTAATCTGTGTAGCCCCACGAGGTGGTAGCTTACCAGAAAGATCTTAACACGCGTCTGTCTCAGAGAGGAGAGTCATGGCAACTGCCTGACTCAGCTTCTTTCTCCCAGCATTCTGTTCTGTTTTCTCTGCCTACCTAATTTTCTGTCCTATCAAAGGCCAAGGCAGTTTCTTTATTAATTAACCAATGAAAGCAACACATAGAAAGCATCACCTATATCAGGATGAAATCTTGCTTTGAGGTCACCATTTCTTTATTCTATTTTTAAAATCTCTTTATTTCCTTGAATACAGGACTTAGCTTGATTTTACTTTATGATACTACTATTTCCTCAAATATTTTTCTTGATAAGCTATTTCCTTTCCATTTTTAATTTTCATTTGTGTTAACACTAAGAACCACACAGCTAGGCTGATTTGATATTTCCTCTGCTAATGAATTAATTCAAATATTTCACCTTAACCTCAGGCAGACTCTTTTGACAAAGGCAAAAATCAGCCACACTCTTCACTAAAATATCACAAGCAATATCTCTAGGCAACATACTAAAATTCTTCTTTGAAACGTCTTGGGCCAGTCTTTGGCAGCTCAAATAACTCAGTGCCACTTTCTTCCATTTTGCTACTAATATGGTCTATTATCATGTCTTAAAGCATTCTACTGCTTTTCTAATCTATGTCCCATGATCGATATTCCTTTAAACAAGGCTATGGTAGGGCCTAGCAGAGTAATACCTCAGTCTCTGGTACCAAATTCTGCTTAGTTAGGGTTTCTGTTGCTCTGGAGAGACACCATTACCACAGCAGCTCATATAAAGGAAAAACATTTCATTAAGGTGGCTTACTTACAGTTTCAGAGATTCAGTCCATTAACACCATGGTGGGGACATGATGTTGTGAAATCAGACATGGTGCTGGCTATTTCTTTATCAGAAGGCAACAGCTAGTAGACTCGCTCAGTGTGACTTTAGTGTGAACATTCAGTGACTATATATTGACACCTTTCCTCCAACAAGAATATACTTACAAATATACCACACAAACAAAGCCACACTTCCTAAAAGCTCCATTCCCTTTGTGGGCCATTTTCTCTCAAACCATCACATCTAGATTTTCCATTTCCATTATTCCCTTGACTTGTGCCTTCTTTATTGCTTCTTTTTCCATTTTTCAGATCTTGAACATTTTTATTCATTGATTTTTACCTCTTTACCTGTTTTTTTTTTTGTGGTTTCCAGGATTTCTTTAAGAGATTTGTTAATTTCATCTTTAATAGCCTCTATTGTCTTCATGAGATTGGATTTAAGGTCATTTTCTTATGTTTCATCTGGATTGGAACATCTGGGGTTTATAAAATAGGACAGATGCACTATGGTGGTGCCATAAACTCACCTGTGTTTGGGGTTATTATATGCTTACCTGTCAGTTTCTGAGTTTATCTTTGTTGGATGAATGCTTTTGATGTTTTGCATCCTGGTTTCTGTTTTCTCTCTAATTATTTGGTTGTTTCATTGAAACATATAAATCAATGAAACTACCAAATAACAGGGAAAGAAAGCACCAACTAGACATTTCCTACCAATAAGTGAAACATCTGGTGACAAAAATAGGTGTCATCTAACTGAGTTGTTGTCTAAAGGGGTTCCATTAATATATTCAGCAACTCAGTCAATTACCAAAGCTATTGGCTGCTCATCACAAGTTGTGGTAAGGTACTATTGTTGTAGACAATACATACAAGTTTCTTTGAACATGTAGAAGTCATGCTGGTTCATATATAGAACTTTTACCCCTATGAACTAGTGCTTGTGGTTCAGGAAGATACTCTGAATGTTACCAGTGAAGAAATGTAAATACCAACCCAACTATAAACACTTTAATCTACAATGGTAATTTTCATACATGATATACTGGTATGATAATGGCCCAAGTGATTTTGGAATAATTAACTATGCTCTGAATGGAATTACGGCTAACTCCATAAGATGGATCCCATGTCTGGTACTGCTCCAATGGCCAAGAATCTGAGACTACATAGGCTATGTGCCTAAAGAAAAACAAAATATCATTGTACTCCTAAACCTAGGTAGAAATATAATGACTTCTAATGATTTCTGTTCTACCCAACATCAATGTCTTGTTCAGCCATCATCAGGGAAGCATCAAGTTGTAGTATATTAGAACTAACATGCCGATCACATAACTGGAAAATATGAAGACAATGATAGACCTTGGAACATCAAGTACTAAATGGAATGTCTCCATCAAACTTCAGGAAAATTTGCAGAAGAGAAAACAGAAAGATTGTAAGATTCATTGGGGATAGAAGGCACTAAGAAAAAGATGTCCTACATACACAATAAGACTGGCTCACATATGAACTCATAGAGTTGGTGACAACACACAAAGGGCCTGTACAGGTCTCAGTGCTGAGAAGGGGAGATGGACACCATTCCCCAACCAAAGAGCTGTCTCCAGTTGACAATTGCTCACAAGGAAAAACTTGGTTTTCTCCAACAGCATTTCACTGGGCATACAAACCACACTTAAAGGCAGGCCTCATACCCAGCAGTAGATGGCCAACTCAAATGAACTCAATTATATTTTTGTGGGTATATTTTTGGCCTTATAATCTGAGTCATTATGAAACATATTTGTCACTTGCTAATCTACTATGGTTTCGAATTTTGTTGTTTTGCTGTTTTTTGTTTGTTCTATTCTGGCCTCTGTGTATTTACTTTCATATTTATAAAAGGAAAGAAGGAAGGTGTGGAGTTAGATATGGGCAGAAGTAATGACATGCCTATAAAGGTACAAGAAGCTTGTAGAACAAATAAATTAGATCATCAAAGAAAGTTCCCTTGACACATAATAATCAAAACACTAAAAACCCAGAATAAGAAAAGAATATTAAAAGTTGCAAAGGGAAAAGGCCAAGTAACATATAAAGACAGACCTATGAGAAGTATACCCTATCAACAATTCTTATTGTAAAAAAAAGCTGTCTCTTCTAGTGTCACCATTTCTAGTCATGGGAAATAAATCTTATTAAAATTTAGGAATTGTTTATTATCTGGGTAGCTCAGATAATCTATATTTTAAACAAATGTAGTTGCAATGGGGATAAAGCTGAATGAATCATGGGAGTTGAAATTAGCTGCTACTTCCACGTGAAAATAGTCATAAACAGACAATTCATGAATGACTAAGCATGGCTGCTTTCTGGTTCCTTATAGAGACTAATGGTACTCCTGGTGTTTTAACTGTAGATCATCATCTGCAAACCCTGTGGAAACAACAGTTGTTTGGATCATATTTAATTATTGCATAATGGATTAGTCCCTTATTGTGTAATCTTTAGGAAGTTTCCAGTTTTTCTTTTGAAAGCAACATTTCACCCTATGGTGGTGGCACACACTTTTTATCCCTATACTTTGGAGGCAGAGACAAGACGATTTCTGTGAGTTGGAGATCAGCCTGGTTTACAAGAATTAGTTCAGGACAGGCTCCAAAGGGACAGAGAAACTTTGTCTTGAAAAAGAAAAAGACAAAGAAAATGAAAACAAGCAAAGTTTCAAAGAGAACTTTTGTATTACATTTCTATATTACATTTCAGAAATGCAAATATTTTTATATAATTAATTGATGNAGTTTGTCTTTTATTTCTTTGGTTCTGATAATTTTATGTGAAATGTTTGTTTTATATTGTGTAATTAAATGCATTATACTTTTAAAAATATGGAGACATAGAAATGATGTCTTAATTTAATAATAAGATTGGATTATCTTGCCTTCTTAAAACTTAATCTATTAGATCTTCAAATTTAATTCTTTTATCAACTTCATAGTGAGCAAATTATCTGGAAATGTCTCATGTTCTCTAAACACAGGAAGGAAACAGTTACTCTAGGTTTCAAATTTTGAGAAATGATCCAAATGATTCTAGAATGTGCAAGAGATGTTGCTATTTCATGATATTAGTGCAAGCATTTGAGAAAATAAAAGTCTGCATCTTAATCAGGTGGGCTGATGTTTCTGAACAGTTAAGCTTCCTTAAGTGGGTGTCATGTCAATCTAAATTAAAGTTGTGATATTTTTGTATTTCCTCACATCTTTTAATTGGTGGAGATCTGATAAAGCCACAGCTGTGAAAAGCCTCCTGCAGAGTCTCCTCATGTTAGGGCTGTAGCTGCACACCCAGCTTCAGTTTGCAGACAGGCTGCAGGCTTGCAGGGAGCACTGTGCATAGGCAGCACAGAGGTAGGTGCCAGAGTCCTCCAGCTGGGCATCTCTGATGTGAAGGGTGCTCTTCCGCTCCTTGGAGTCAAATGTTGAATTTAACCTCCCATTCTCCTTTGTTCCTGGAGCCAGGTAGAAAAGACTGATGATGCTGCCCCTGGAATTCTGCCGGAACCACTGCACATTTGTCATGAATGTGGAAAAATTGCATGACAGAGTAGAACTTTTTCCCTCGTGGAGACTCAGGGCTGAAGGACTCTGCTCCACCTCAACTCCTCTCACCCCTGCGTGGAAACAGAAAAACAAACCAGAATCAATGAAGGGCTTTCACCCACACCTGTCAAATATCTCAGCAGACACCATGAGGATGACCTACAGGGGCTTTGAGTTGGCTCATTCCCTTTCCTCCACTGCCATCTCTAGAGATTCCCTAAAACAACTTATTGGAGCACAACTCACAGCAAATCTGCACACAGAGAATCCCCAGCACAACTCCCAGCTTCCTCTCCATGCTCCCTGTCCAGTTTCCGGGGTGTCTTCTCTCCAGCTGTGTGGGTGTCGTGTCAAGTCTTGTGTCTAAACACACCTGTGCTTACACACCACAGATTCTCTCTGAAACACTTCCTCATTCATCTGTAAAAGAAACCCCACCCACCTCCATGTCAAGACTCTGCATGGTTATTGCTGCACAAACTGTGTAGGACAATGATATATAGCCCAGGACACTAGATTTCTAAGGTAACACTTCTTATAAGAGGAATTGGGGGGGCATGGGGAGGGAAATTCATAAATGCTGAATTTTGGCATGAAAACTAATGGCTCCAGTGGGTTAAGAAGAGCCTTTCAGAATTCTAGTAAGATTTTTTTTGGATCTTCACTTTGTAAAGCAATTTCATGCAATGTATTCTCATCATGTCTCCCAATGGCCAACTCCTCCCAGATCGTTCCTGCCTCCTCATCCACCTAAAGACATGCCCCTTCTCTTTTTCCCTCCCCCTCTCTTTAGAAAGGAAATAGGCAGTCAAATAAGCAACAAGAATTAAAAAAAATAATAACAATAGTTAAATTTTCTTTATGTATGGAGATATATTTTATTTAGTTAGGCATTCTTCAAATCTTTCAGAGTCCTTCAGAATATGGAATTTAAAATTATTTAATAACTTAGGACTTTTCATGACAATGAGACACATCAGCTTTTGGCAGCACCAAGCTACTCCAAGAGGATGATGGGCATTGAAGAGACTTTTTATGGAGTTGGTTAGCCATTTGGGCAAGAAACTGCTCTTGCCTGGACTGTTGAAAAATCTACAGAGAGAAGATTGCCAAACTTGCCTAAAGGTGAGATGATCCTTCTGGGTTCCTGCTTCATAAAAGAGTCTGCCAGATATTCTGTAGGATACAGAAGAAAGTGACTGGCAAACTGCCAACATAGGCGGACCTGTCTTTGAAATGTCCTGCTTCGTGGAAAAGTCTGCTGAATATTATGGGCCTGTAGACTAAAGATTGATGTCCCAACGGTACAGAAGAAATTTGGGTGACTGTCTAGGCAGCGAGATGTGTCTCATTGTCATGAAAAGTCCTAAATTATTAAATCATTTTAGATGCCATATTCTGAAGATCTCTGAAAGATTTGAAGAATACCTATCTAACTGAATTATATCTCTATATATCTAGAAAATCTAACTAACATGACTACAAGCTTGACTATTATAGATGACTACCTATTAACCTATATTTCTTAATTATACATTACATTTTTAAATGAGCTACACAATCACAATACCTTAATCAAGATCAGAAATACATACACATATAACAAAATTGACCTTATATTTGTATCAATAAACCAAGATATATACACTATCACTTTTTCATACCTTTTATTTACCAGGTTTTTTAAAAAATATTTCTTCCTTTTCTTTCTATCTTAGGTTATAGATAGATAGATAGATAGATAGATAGATAGATAGATAGATACATAATTATGGAGATAGATATCATGTATATATTATGTATGTTATAAGGGAAATTGGAATAATATCTATTTTTTGAATATAGGAACAATTTTAAAAATGAAATTAAAAAATAAATGCAGTGAATATGTTTTCTCTTGAATGTCCAACCTCATAATGCCCAGTGAGAGTCTATTTTGCTTACATCTTTTTAGAGATTTGTTTTTAAAATAGATTGATAAACCTGTAAGATCCAGTGAACAGGCACTAGATATCTATGGTTTTATATGTAACGACTGAGATCTAATGGTTTGTTGAACTCCACACCATCACCCCTACTCCTTGCTTTATGAATGGATTACCTTATGTCTCTTCTGGGATCTTCAAACCTCTAGGCACCTTAAGAAAACATTTAGGGAGCCATTTTAGGGTTGGCAAGAGACTTGACTCTAGAGGTGTTCCCAGTTGTCCTTGGAGATGTCCCCAGCTAGAACCTTGGGCAGCTGAGGAGAGGGAGCCTGAAATGGCTCTATCCTATAGTCATACTGATGAATATCTTGCATATCACCATAGAACCTTCATCTGGCGATGGATGAAGTTAGAGACAGAGACCCACATTGGTGCACTGGACTGAGCTCCCAAGGTCCAAATGAGGAGCAGAAAGAGGGAGAACATGAGCAAGGAAATCAGGACCACGAGGGGTGCACCCACCCACTGAGACGATGGGGCTGATCTAATGAATGGGAGTTCACCAAGGCCAGCTGGACTGGGACTGATGGACCATGTGAACAAACCAGACTCTCTGAACGTGGCTGACAAGGAGGGCTGACTGAGAAGCCAAGGGCAATGGCAGTGGGTTTTGATCCTACTGCATGTACTGGCTTTGTGGGAGCCTAGTCTGGATGCTCACCTTCTTAGACCTGGATGGAGGGGGGAGGACCTAGGACTTCCCACAGGGCAGGGAACCCTGACTGCTTTTTGGACTGGAGAGGGAGAAGGAGGGGATGGGGGAAGGAGAGGGAAATGGGAGGGGGAAGTGGAAATTTTTAATTAAAAATAAATAAATAAATGGAAAAAAGAAAACAATTTCTAGAAATCCTGCAGTGCCCCCTAGTGGAAGGACACCACCAACAAATGTGACTTCAAACCACATCCACAATTTTTTAATCATTTTATTTTATTTTTTATAACTTTATAAATATTACCAATCAAAATTCCCACTTCCTCCCCTCCTCCTACTTCCCTCCCTCTTCTCCCAACCCCTCCACTACTGCCTCCAGTCCTAAGAGAGGGCAAGGCACCCTGCCCTGTGGGAAGTCCAAGGCCCTCTCCCTTAAATCCAGGCCTAGGAAGGTGTGTATCCAAAGGGAATAGGATCCAAAAATCAGTACATACAGTAGAGACAAATCCCAGTGTCATTATCATTGTCCCCGTAGTCTGCCCCAATTGTCAACCACATTCAGAGGGTCCAGTTTTATCCCATGCTATTCTTACTAATCCAACACTTTTCACTCCATCTCTTCCTGGTGAAGAAAATGCATATGGTCGAAAATATGACTGTCTAGATGGAATTCTCAGAAGAAATAAAAACGGCTAAAAAATTCTCAATATTGCTCATCATTGCTAGCAATTAGAGAATGCAAAAAAGATAAAATAACTTTGAGATTTTTTTCTCAACCCAGTCAGATTATCTAGACAAAAAAAACACAATAAACAGCTGATAACAAATGCTGGGGAAGTAGTGTTGGGAATAGGAACCCACATTCATTCTCAGAAGAATTCATATTGGTGCAGTTATTTTGGAAACAGGTGTGGGGAATATTCTAAATAGTGAAGATAAGTTTCCTAAAATTTCAAGCTATGCCACTTCTGGATCTATGTCCTATTCCACAGGTATTTGCTTAGCCATGTTCTATTGCTGTTCTATTCACAGTAACTAGGAAATGGAAACAAGCTAAAAGTCTTTCAACTGATGAATGGATAATGAAAATGTGGCTCTTATACACTGTGGAATAATCTTTAAAGTAAAGAAATAGTACATCATAAACTCTGCAGGTAGGTCAATGTAACTAGAAAAGTTATTTTAAATGAGTTGACCAAGATCCAAGAAGAAAAATGCCACATATTCTGCCACTGAACTCCTAACAACAATGGAAATTGTAGAGATAATAATTCCAAATCTTCAAAAGTAAAAATATAACCCAGAGTAACTACAGAGGCCAGAAAGATACAAAAGGGATCATGTTTTTGGGGGAAGTAGGATAAGCAAAATTTAACGGGAGAAATAGGAAGAATTAAAGGAAAGAAGGCTAAGATAGAAGGAGAGAGTTGAAGGAGGGTGGAATTATAGTAATGGTGCTTTTAAACATTTCAAGGAATCATATTAGTATCTATTTAGCTAAAAATGCATAAAAATACACAAGTATAGGTCTATGTGTGTGCACATATAGATACATAGTTTAAATTAAATGTTTCTGTCTGTGCTAACAATGCTTCTCCCAAGAGCCCTAGATATCTATTTTTTAAAAAAGCAAAACTCAATACCAGTCAAGGGAATCTCTCATTCAAGTTGTTGGTTAGGTAATTTTAAAGACTCTTAAATATTATGGACTAATATTCTTGACATTGTTTCCATTCAAGAAATGTCACTGAGTCTTTATTGCTGATGACATCGTTTAAAATATAGGATCAGAAGAATCCAAGCTTTATCTGAAATGAAGCATTGCTACCGGATAACTAACTTTCAGGATACCAGAGGGTAACATGCAAGTTACCAAGGGAGAGAAGCAACCAATTATCCTCCCCAGCTGTTATGCCTATCAACCACAATGACCAAAATGGTATGAAAACCTAAGGATGCAATAGTAGTATTTATATCTTGATGACAACTAAGACCTCTCTAATGGGGCATTAGAAACAACCAGAGAAAAATCATGCCTGGTCCTATGAACATAGCTAGCCAAGCAGGGCTAGTGAGTTTAGGTATTTTGGAGGAGAACCTACAAACACCACCTTACTAAACTAGTATAATCCCTAAGTACATTCTAAATATCTATCATTGTACCCCCACATAATGCAGTCCTAAATAAAACAGTAACTATAAAAATGCAAAGAACAAGTAATCATATGGTATTCTGCCTCAACTGATCTATGTGGTTACTTACATGCAAATCACTTACATAAAACCAAGCCAGCCAACTTCTCACACAAATGGGAAGGTTTTCTAGGTGGGTCCTACTCCATGAAGAGGACTAGGACCAGTTGATAGCTGCTGGAGGAGGACAAATCACTCTTCTTGAAGGTATAGACTTTTGTAGGTTCCCCAAGCTTCAGTGGATGGCCCACACCCATTAACATACTGGCAACATTTATTGGACATGGTATTTTTAGTTTCCTTTCTGCTGCTTTGGCTAATATCTTGAAAAATGCAATTTTGGTAGAGGAAAACCTTCATTTTAGCTTATGGTACTAGCTCAGTCTATTACTGAGGGAATCAGTGAATAAACTTGAAACCAGGACTACATTCTATTATCTCTAGGGAAGGAAGGCACTTTACAGCTAAAGAGATACAACGAGGGCAAAGGAGAATGTGACTTATTATCT